TGTTTAAACCCTGTTTTATAGAGGCTAAGCTAATGATAAATGCATGTAGATTTTCACAGAAATTAAGCAGGGGTTCAAATAGATTAAAGACATAGGTGTATTGTACATATGTGTTAAGATCTCAAAGAGGTTATGGAACAAACATACTTGATTGTGCAAGAGTTATTAGTTGACCCTACACAAAAAAATTCATGACTCACACTTAAGAAGAGGAAAAACAGTTTGATCTTACAGAATAAATATGCTGTAATGATTTATTAGAAGAAAACATCTTGGTGCAGATAAGATAGTTCCTTATGCCCACAATAGTTGAACATGATCATAAGAAAAATTATAGTGATAACTTAGATATCATTCCCAGAGTTAACAGGTATCAAATGTAGAGGAGAAAAACATCTAGACATTTAGATCCTTTTAACTTAGTTAAGTGACATAGACATATGGTATATCAGTTAAGATGACCATATAATGAACCTAACTATAAACATATAGAATGCAGGGAAATGATATGCAGAGATGGACAATACCATTAATGAAAGGGAAACATGAGCATGATTGGTCTATCAATGATAATGATCAGACAGAATAAGGTCCATAGTGATAACTCAGAAGCAGTTTAACAAACACATGCATATAAAAAAAGTATTTTAACATTGTAAGTTCAAACTTAAGATTAAGGGACAAGACACAAGTCTTGAAAAAATTCTGGTTCCAATAACTACCAAGTAACACACTTAGCTTTTAAGACTCATAAAATTTCAAATGTGTGATAAAATAGAAATGGGTTCATTAAAAGTCAGTAAGAACTATGAAGCCTACATTGAACACAGACATGTAATGATTTAGGCATGGAGACTGTAAGAAAACTCAGAACAAAGGTCAACAATTATCTTTCAAATGATCGACTATCACTTAAGGAATCATAACAAAATATGTTAATCACAAAAAATCATTATACTAACAAACATAACTATCAAACATGTCCTACACATACAACATAACTATAATCTACAGAACTTAACATTGACATATCTAAACAATTTAGAGAAATGAACAAGGAAAAGGGAAATAAAGGTGTTGACCTTCTTAGGGGCAACAGACTGAACGAATTCCCTTTTGTTGCTCAAAGATCCTAGAAAACCTTCAAACTTGAACCAGCAAAGAACTCGGCAAAAGAGAAGAAAACAATAAGAGACCTAATTATCATAAAACCTAATTTCTCAGTGTTTTGGTTGCTCTAGTTTGTTGTGTTAGATTGTGTGTTGGTGTCTATTAGGTGAGAACATTGAAACCTCCTTTTATAGTGGCATTCAATGCCTCTAGAGTTTAAGATTTCTAACTAAAATAGTGGAGAGTCACGACGAGCTGATGATGTAAGTATAGTCGGGTAAGATCAGAAGACAGAGGGTGGAATCTAGTAATAATTTTACCTATGTACTGGAGTGGAGTGAATTGTTGAACATTGAGGTACAAGAGACCATCGGTGAGAACCCTAATACCCAGAGGTCATTGAATTTGACCTCTGGGTGTCGAATATTGATGATGAAGCCAACTAACACTCCCTGCTCGCTTTGATTTGAAATAACTAAGGAAGAAACACGCGAGTTTGAATTCTCACCTTTGAGGTCTAACTCTCTCGACTAGGGTTTTGAAATTGAACGGCAAAAATGGAAAGAACAACGGGACTAAGAGTGCATGAGAAAAAGGAATAGCTATGCATGCCATGGATTTGAATGATCAGTAACGATTAGAAATTTCATCTCTAAGGTTAGGGTTTCAAAATTTAGGCGGTTTGAATTTGTGATTGGAAATGGAATGTGAAGCGAGAATCGCGGATAAGGAAGACAGGATGGATGATTTCTTGATGGGTTCATGACCTTGCACAAATATGTGCAAGGATCAGGTGATTGACGAGTCTATATGATCGAGTGAGAAGAGAGAAGAAGAAGAAAATGGGAGATGAGGCAGCTGAGTAAGGTGAAAATGAATTAGTGTTTAAGGTGTGAGAACGGTTGGTCTCTGAGTTAAAATGGGGGGAATAGATCTGGGCCATTGGATCATGTGATCAACGGCCCTGATAAATCGAAGTGTTACATATTAAAAGATATCAAAATTTGAAAATATGGGGACCGTTGGATCTATGTGATCCAACAGTTGAAATAATTCTTATAGTGGGTTGAGATTTAAACGAATAATAGGGAATAATCTGTGACCGTTGATGGTTTGAATTAATGGTTCAGATCGCTTGTGTTTATTTTGTGTGTGGGATCAACGGGTGACGTGTCAGGTCATAATTGGATGAGAGGTAATGGCAAGGATTGTCAAGTTGGAAGGGGATGTAGTGTTTGGACTCGGTTGTTCTGATTTGGGCCTGGTATTTGGGCCAAAATTAATTTAAAGAATAGCCACTTCTTTTTTAATGGAGGAGTTGCAATTGTGGCCTTTCAGTTTTAACCCTTTTAAAATCAGTTTAAATACAACAACAACAACAACAACATATCCAGTATTATCTCACATCGTGGGGTTTGGGGAGGGTAGTGTGTACGCAAACCTTACCCCTACCTTGTAAGGATAGAGAGGTTGTTTCCAATAGACCCTCGGCTCAGGAAAGCATAAGCACCAAATTAATGAAAATATAGAAAAGAAGGGACAGTACCTAAAAGCCATATAAAAAAGAATAAAAACAACAAGACAATAAGGTGATCAACAATGAAAGAAAACAACGGTTAGTGATAACAACCTACTACCAACAGAAGTGAGACTGCGTGCCAATACTACTGTTATGGACACTCTAGACAACCTACTCTACTACCCTAATCCTTGACCTCCATACTTTCCTATCAAGGGTAATGTCCTCGGTCAGCTGAAGCTGCGTCATGCCTTGCCTAATCACCTCTCCCCACCTCTTCTTTGGCCTACATCTACCTCTCCGTAGGCCCTCCAACGTCAACCTCTCACACCTCCTCACCGGGGCGTCTGTGCTCCTCCTCCTCACATGACCAAACCACATAAGCCACGCTTCCCGCATCTTGTCCTCAATAGGGGCCATGCCCACCTTATCACAAATAAACCGGTGTGCCCGCACATTTATCTCAACATCTTCATCTCTACTACCTCCATCTTCTGGACATGAGCGATTTTGACTGGCCTACACTCGGCCCCATACAACATTGTTGGTCTAACCACCACTCTGTAGAACTTACCTTTAAGTTTCGATGGCACCTTTTTGTCATACAAAACACCGGAAGCGAGTCTCCATTTCATCCATCCCACCCCAATACGATGTGTGACATCTTCATCAATAACCCCATCTCCCTGAATAATAGACCCAAGGTAATTAAAACTCCCTCTCCTTGGGATGACCTGCGAGTCCAGCCTCACCTCCCCTTCCCCTCCTTGAGTCTCACCACTGAACTTACACTGCAAGTATTCTGTCTTGGTCCTGCTCAACTTAAAACCTTTAGATTCTAGGTTCTCCTTTCATACCTCTAATTTCACGTTCACACGGTCTCACATTTCGTCAATCAATACAATATAATCTACAAATAGTATGCACCACGGCACCTCCCCTTGGATGTGGCGCATCAGTATGTCCATCACCAGAGCAAACAAAAAAGGGCTGAGTGACGACCCCTGATGCAACCACATCAAAACCGAAAAATGGTCTGATTGCCCACCCATCGTCCTTACTCGGGTAGGCAACAGGTACACCTTTAGCCTCCAAATATATCCACAAAACCTCTCTCGGAACTTTATCATACATATTTTCTAGGTCGAGGAACACCATATACAAATCCTTCTTTCTTTCCCTATACTTCTCTATCAATCTCCTAACAAGGTGGGTGGCTTCTGTAGTCAAACGGCCAGGCATAAACCCAAACTTGTTCTTGGAAATAGTCACACTCTTCCTCACCCTTAGCTTTACCACTCTCTCTCAGACTTTTATAGTATGGCTAAGCAGCTTGATACCCCGATAGTTATTGCAATTTTGGATATCACACTTGTTCTTGTATATAGGAACCATCGTGCTCCACCTCCACTCTTCGCTCATCTTCTTCATCCTAAAAATGACATAAATAACCTAGTGAGGCACTCCAAGCTTGCATTGCCCGCACTCTTCCAAAACTCGGGATTTCATCATGCCCTGTCACTTTGCCTCTGCTCATCTTATGCATAGCTGCCTCAACTTCATCAACTCTAATCTGCCTACAATACCCAAAGTCACACCTACTCCCGGAGAGTTCCATATCACCTAGTACAATTGTCTTGTCCCCCTCCTCGTTCAAGAGACTATGGAAGTAGGTCTACCATCTCCAACGGATAAGCCCCTCATCCAACAAAACTCTACCTTCTTCGTCCTTTATGCACTTCACTTGGTCCAAGTCACGTGCCTTCCTTTCCTGTGCCTTGGATAACTGGAACAACCACTTACCCCCACCTCGGCCGTTGCGTTCCTCATACAAATGACTAAAAGTTGCAGTCTTGGCCTCCGTAACTGCTAGCTTTGCCTCTTTCTTAGCCAACTTATAATGTTCCCTATTCGCCATCTTCTCCTCCTCGTCTACACTTTCCACTAGCTTTCCATACACTACATTCTTGATTTTCACTTTTCCTTGCACCACTCCATTCCACCACCAGTCTCCCTTGTAACCACCAGAGTAACCCTTTGAGACCCCTAATACCTCTCTCGCGGCTTCCCTAATGCACTGCGCAGTCGTGGTCCACATAGCGATTACGTCCCTACTACTCTTCTAAGCCCTTATAGTCACCACCTTGACCCCAAATTCCTGCGCTATAGCTTCCATCAAGGCTCCTCACTTTATCCTATGTTGGCTATACATCGCCCTCTTCCTCCTCTTCCTCGTGATCTCAATGTCCATGACCAGGAGCCTATAAATGGTCGAGAGGTTCTCACTCGGGATGACCTTGCAATCCGTGCAAAGACCTCTATCATACTTACTGCAGAGTAAATAATCAATCTGAATCTCTGCCACCAAACTTCAAAAGGTGACCAAGTGCTCCCTCTTCTTTGGAAAACTCGAATTTGCTATCACCAAATCAAATGCTCTAGCAAAGTGTAGCAGAGACGTTCCTCCTCCATTTCTATCTCCAAATCCAAAGCCACCATGCACATCATCATACCCCACATACATCACTCTAATGTGGCCCTTGAAATTCCTTCCTATGAAAAGCTTCTCGGTATGCGGGATACCACGCACCATCTCATCCAAATCCTCCCAGAAATGCCTCTTGACTTCCTCATCCAAGCCTTCTTAGGGTGTGTACGCACTGATTATGTTCAAAGTAAAACCTCCAACAACTAGCTTTGTAGTCATCAACCTATCTTCATCCTCCTAACCTCCACCATTAGTTCACTGAGGTCTTTATCAACCAAGATACCTACCCCATTCCTACCCCCACCCTCCTAGAATACCAAAAATTGAAACTGCCCACATCCCGCGCCTTATCTCCTACCCACCTAGTAATCTTCCTTTTCTCGAGAATCTTCGCTAATTCTACAAATTTTCCAGTCAATGTTCTTATGTTCCAAGACCCCACTCTCAACCTAGTAGCTCCCTTAGCCCTCTTACCCTCCTTACCCCCCCTACCCCCTCTCCCTCGTGCTGACTCCCCCGAGAACAAAAGCTTAACCTACCATCGTTCACCAAAGCCACTATAATCTAGGAGTTACTACGCAAGCACTATCCCAAAAACAAGCAACAAAAATAAAATGAATTAATGTAATATAATCTACCACTAAAGGTCGCAAAATAGGTGAAGAAATAAAATAAAGAAACTAACGGGAACTATAATCTACAACTAAAGGTCAGAAAAGCAGGTGAAGAAATAAAACAAAGAAACTAAAGGAACTATAATCTACAACTATAGAATAGAAAAATAGGTGAAGAAATAAAACAAAGGAACTAAAGGAACTATACTCTACAAGGATAGAAAAACAGGTGAAGAAATACAATACAAGAGCTAAAGGAGGCTATAATCTACAACTAAAGATCACAAAGAAAATGTGCAAAACTAGAACTGAACTACTGGGGGGTATTTGAAATAAAGATTCAAAATAAAGAAGTAAGCAGGTAGATAGCAATATAAACAAGTTGACCGAGCTATCACTAATGCAATTAATTTGAGAATGCTAGGGCAAATACTAACTAAAGGTTCAAGAACAAAATAGGCAGGCAAGGAGATACAATTATGCTAAAATATCAAACTATTAAAATATCAAGACAAGAGAGGAACAATAGAACCTGGATTGCAGCCCTTGAAGTTAACAGAAATCTGGTCGTGGTGGATTGCGATGAGCTGGAGCAATACTCGATGTATTTCTCGTTCAAATAGGAAGAAGAAACTTCGAAGGTTTTTATGTTTTCTCTGAAATTTAGACCAACCAAGAAATCCGAAAATAGACCAAAATGAAAAGAAGAACCCTAAACTTTTTCTGCCTCTCTTCTCTGAAATCTGGAATTCGCCGCTGTATGAGGGATTTACCGGCAATAATTGACCTGAATCTTGAAAGAAAGGGAAGCTCAGACATTTTTGATGAGAAATAAATGAAAAAGTAATCGCTTCAACGCCGGAACAATTCTATGATGTCGGAGATTGAGAAATGATATGAAAACAGAGGTTTTGGGAGAAAGGAGAAGATGAATTGAAACTTCGAAGAACTGAGTTTAGAAATTCCGAACGAGAATTTATCGAATTCAGTTTTCAATCAATGCCAATATGTACCTTCAGCTTCAAAAAGCTTAAGAATCAAACCTATCGAATCAGTTTTCACTGATTCAATATCAGTTTTCACTGATTCAATTTGTTCAAACAATCCCCGAATCAAAAGACCTAATTTCTTCTTCGACTTAGATTCCAAAATTTTGAACCAAAACCCTATAAATTAAGCCCCAAATTCACTCAATCTTCTGATTCGAGTCCACAATCAAGTTGCCAATGAATTTAAGCACCACCCAATCGATTTTCTTGAACCCTAATTTCATATATAAAACCTAACTTCTCCGAGGTGCGAAATTGTCAGTTTTCTTGACAATGGAAATCCAAAAAATATTTATTAATGATGGGCTATAATGTCAGCAAATTGAATTCTGTCTTGATGAATTTGAACCGGAGAATGGATTTTTAAAATCAATTTAAATAAACATGGAAATTTAAATAATACGTGGTAAAAGTATAATTACTATATGTTACTAATTATTTTAAATATTTATAAATGACACATATTTCAAATTGTACCACTAATTTCAAAATATTAATAGAGTCGCCTAATTCTTTAGAAATTAAGGAATAATTTTGTCAAATTATAAATTCTATGTAATGTACATACAAAAGTTATTTTATAAAAGTAAATATATTTGCAATTCCACAATATTAGAACTATGTAATTAATTTTTAAACTAATACCTAAATAATTTATAAAAATAGATATTCATTACTAAGAAATACCTTTAAAGAATTTATTGTAAATTGTTAAGCGTGAATAAATTAATTTTAAAAGGGAGTGTCAAAATTGGCCGTCAACAACAGCTTCTGAGGGGGAGAAGCTCAGGATTGAGAGGTACAAAAAGTACCACCCTCCTACTTTCAGCGATTTGGCGTCAGAGGATGCCCAAGAGTTTCTTGAGGAGTGCCACTGTATCCTCTATACTATGGGTATTGTGGAGTCAAGTGGGGTTGCTTTCACTATGTTTCAGCTTAAGGGAGCGGCTTATCAGTGGTGGCGAGCATATAAATTGGGTATTCCTGTCGAGGCAACTTCACTCACTTGGGCTCAGTTCTCGTATATGTTCTTGAGGGATTTTGTTCCCCAGAGTCTCAGAGATACATGGCGCGCATAATTTGAGCAGTTACGCCAGGGTTCTATGACCGTATCGGAGTATGCGAACTGGTTCAATGATTTGTCAAGGCATGCACCAGCCTTGGTTGCTACTTTTAGAGAGCGAGTCCGTTGAGTTATTGAGGGGCTCAACCTTATCGGATTTAGCATGGCCAGAGAGCTAGAGATGGACATCACATACTAGCAGGCAGTGGATCACTAGGAGATTGGAGGGTATGTAGTCCCAGGAGAGAGAGGAGCGGGAGGCCAAGAGGCCTCGATATTCTTGCACATATAGTGGTGCCCGCGCCCAGTTGCATCTCGTCATGGTAGGGGCTATGTGAGTCACCCTGTTCATTTAACAATTTCAACTTCCAGTGGTATTCTAGACAATCATAATCTACGTGCTCCTTATTATACACCGCCATTGTCTAGTGCACCTCCTGTATGGGGTGGTTTCAGCGGTCAGTCCAGCCGATCAAGCCCGAGCCAGCCACAATAGCCTCCTCCGAGAGCTTGTTTTGAGTGTGGTAACACTCGTCACATGGTGAAGGATAGCCCCAGACTCAGGAGGGGTGCACCTCTACAGACCACTCAGGCTCTGCATATTTCACTCGGTCCTCAGGCCATGGTTACCGCACCAGTTGCCACTCCATCTGCACAGCTAGCTGGAGGTGGGGTCGGGAAGGTAGAGGTCGCCCTATAGGGGAGGCCAGGCCAGATATTATGCCCTTCCTGTTAGGATGGAGGCAGTTGCATCTGACTCAGTCATCACAAGTATTGTTCTAGTCTGTCATAAAGATGCATCGGTCTTATTTGATCCAGGCTCCACTTATTCCTATGTGTCATCTTACTTTGCTCAATCTTTGGGTGTATCCCGTGATTCTTTGAATTCTCCTATCCGTGTGTCCATACCTGTAGGCGATTCTATTTTTGTTGACCGTGTGTATCGGTCGTGTTTAGTTGTTCTTGGTGGTTTTGAGACCAGAGCTGATCTACTGTTGCTCAGTATGGTAGATCTTTATATTATTTTGGGCATGGATTGGTTGTCACCCTATCATGCTATTCTCGATTGTCACGCCAAGACCGTGACACTGGCTATGCCAGGGTTACCACGGGTAGAGTGGAAAGGGTCTTTAGATTATGTTCCTAGCAGTGTTATCTCATTTCTAAAGGCTCAACGTATGGTTAAGAAGGAATGTAATGCTTATCTAAACTTCGTGATGAATGTTAGTGTTGATACTCCTATTGTGGAATCAGTTCCGGTAGTGAGGGATTATTCGGATGTATTTCCGGTGGATTTTCTGGGCATGTCGCCCGACAGGGATGTCGATTTTGGCATTGATTTGTTACCGAACACTCAGCCCATTTCTATTCCACCATATCGTATGGCCCCAGCAGAGTTGAAAGAATTAAAGGAGAAGTTGCAAGAATTGCTTGATAAGGGCTTCATTTGGCCTAGTGTGTCACCTTAGGGTGCTCTAGTTTTGTTTTTAAAGAAGAAGGATGGTTCTATGCGCATGTGTATTGATTATCGCTAGTTGAACAAGGTTACAATGAAGAAAAGATATCCATTGCCACATATTGATGACCTATTTGATCAGCTACAGGGTGCTAGAGTATTCTCAATTATTGACTTACCTTCAGGCTATCATCAGTTGAAGATTCGGGAGCTAGATATCCCGAAGACTGCCTTCAGGACTCGGTATGGCCATTACGAGTACTTTGTGATGTCATTTGGGATGACCAATGCCCAATCAACATTCATGCACTTGATGAACAATGTATTCCAGCCCTATCTTGACTCATTCATTATTGTGTTTATTAACGACATTCTGGTTTACTCCCAGAGCTGGGAGGATCATGAGCAGCATTTGAGGACTGTGATCTGGACCTTGAGAGAAAAGAAGTTATGTGTAAAATTTTCAAAGTGTGAATTCCGGCTTGATTTGGTAGCATTTTTGGGCCATGTAGTGTCAAGTTAAGGGATCAAGGTATATCCAAAGAAGATTGACGCAGTGTAGAGTTGGCTCCGACCGTCTTCAACTATGAAGATCCTGAGTTTTCTTGGTTTGATGGGGTATTACCATCGATTTGTAAAGGGTTTCTCATCTATTGCTGCACCTATGGCCAGATTGACCTAGAAGGGTGGACCGAGGAGTATGAGGAGAGCTTTCAAAAGCTCAAGACTGCTTTGACTACAGCCCCAGTGTTGGTGTTGCCTACAGGTTCGGGGTCTTATATACTGTGTATTGTGATGTGTCGCGTATTGGTCTCAGCGCGCTATTGATGTAGGACGGTAGGGTGATGGCCTACGCGTCTAGACAACTGAAGGTGCATGAGAAGAACTATCCTATCCACGACCTTAAGTTAGCAGCTACTGTTCATTCCTTGAAGATTTGGCGGCACTATTTGTGCGGTGTCCCTTGTGAGATCTACACCGACAATCGGAGTCTACATCATCTGTTCAAACAGAAGGTTCTTAACTTGCGCCAATGGAGGTGGTTGGAGTTGCGTAAGGACTATGATACCACCATTTTGTATCATCCTGGGAAGGCCAATATGGTGGCCGATGCCTTAAGTCGCAAGATGGAGAGTTTGGGAAGTTTAGCATATCTATCGGTAGTAGAGATGCCATTAGCATTGGATTTTTCAGACATTGGCCAACCAGTTTGTTAGACTGGATGTTTCTGAGCCGGGTCGAGTTTTGGCTTGTGTGGTTTCTCGGTCTTCTCTTCATGATCGTATTAGAGAGCGTCAATATGACGACCCCCATCTGCTTATCCTCAAGGATACGGTTCAGCAAGACGATGCCAAAAAGGTCACTATTGGGGAGGACAATGTATTACGGATGCAGGGCAGGCTATGTGTTCAAAATGTAGATGGTTTGCATGAGTTAATTCTCTAAGAGGCTCACAGTTCGGGGTACTCCATTCATCTAGGTGCCGCAAAGATGTATCAGGACTTGCGGCAACATTATTAGTAGAGGAGAATGAAGAAGGACATAGTGGAGTATATAGCTCGATGCCTAAACTATCAGCAGGTGAAGTATGAGCATCAATGGCCAGGTGAATTGCTTCAGAGGTTAGAGATTTCAGAGTGGAAATAGGAGCCGATTACTATGGATTTTGTTGTTGGACTCCCACAGACTCGGAGGAAGTTCGATGCAGTATGGGTAATTATGGATAGATTGAGCATGTCAGCTCATTTCATTCAAGTGGTGACTACTTATTCTGTAGAGCAGCTGGCTCGGGTCTATATTCGCGAGATTGTCAGGCTTCATAGCGTGCTGGTATCCATCATCTCTAACCGAGGTAGCAGTTTACATCACAATTCTGGAGGTTCGTGCAACATGAGTTAGGCACGCATGTGGAGTTGAGTACAACAATTTACCCTCAGACGGACGGACAATCCGAGCGCACTATTCAGTTATTGGAGGATATGCTTCATGCATGTGTGATGGAGTTTGGGGGTTCTTAGGATCAATTCTTGCCGGAGTTTGCCTACAACAATAGCTACCAGTCAAGCATTCAAATGGATCTGTATGAAGCTTTGTATGGTAGACGGTGTCGATCTATGGTGCGGTGGTTTGAGCCGGGTGAGGCTGGACTATTTGGTACAGACTTAGTTCAGGATGCTTTGTAGAAGGTTAAATTGATTCAAGATCGACTTTGCGACATTGCATTCATGGTTGGGGAGCGGGTTTTGCTCTAGGTTTCACCCATGAAGGGTTTTATGAGGTTCGGGAAGAAGGCAAGGCTGAGCAATAGGTATATCAGACCTTTTGACATTCTTGAGAGGATTGGAGAGGTGGCGTACAAGCTTGCACTACCACCTAGTCTAGCTACAGTTCATCATATATTCCATGTATCTATGCTCCAGAAGTATCACATCGATCCGTCTCATGTGTTAGACTTCAACTCAGTCCAGTTGGATAAGGATCTGTCTTATGTTGAGGAGCCAGTGGCCATTTTGGACATGCAGGTTCAAAAGTTGAGGTCGAAGAACATTGCTTCAGTAAAGGTTCAGTGGAGGGGTCAGCCAGCAAGGAGGCAACTTGGGAGACCGAGCATGATATGCGAAGTCGTTATCCTCATCTCTTCACCACTTTAGATATGTCTTTGTACTCGTTCAAGGACGAACATTTGTTTTAAGAGGGGAGGATGTAACGACCTGGCCAGTCGCTTTGAGTATTTTAGCCCTGATCCCCTAATTTATGCTTCCTCTATGTTATATTGTGATTTTGTGACTTTCCATGGTGTTTGGTTTTGATTTCGGGTGAGGTTCGAGGTGAAATGGGACACATAGTCCCTAAGTTGGAGGTTTAGGTTGTAAAAGTTGACTGTAGTTTGACTTGTGTGAAGATGACCGCCGAATGGATTTTTGACGGTTCCAATAGCTCTGTATGGTGATTTTGGTCTTAGGAGCGTGTCCGGATATTTATTTGGAGGTATGTATGTCGTTTCGACTCGAATTGGCGAAAGTTAGAAAATGAGAGATTTTGGAAAGTTTGACTGGGAGTTGACCTTATTGATATTAGGGTCAGATCCCAATTCCGTAAGTTGGAATAGGTCCGTAATGTCATTTATGACTTGTGTGTAAATTTGGAGTCAATCGGGTTTGTTTTGGTATGAATCGGCATTGGTTTCGGAATTTGGAAGTTCATAGTTCATAGGCTTGAATTTGGGTTGCGATTCATAGAATTTTTGTTCTTTGATGTGATTTTACGCTTCGAGCATGTTTGTATGATATTTTAAGACTTGTTGGTATTCTTGGTTGAGGTCCTGGGGTCCTCGAGTGATATTCGAACAATGTTCGATGCACGTCGGATCATTGAGGAATGGCTGAAGTGCTGGTTCTTCTCAGTTCTGGTTTCCTCTTATGCGATCGCGAAAGAGGGGCCACGATCGCGAAGCTCTAAGACTGACGGGCATGGATTGGTTCTATGAGATCGCGAGATGGCTCATGCGATCACAATCTTGGAAGTTCAGTGCATCACGAACACGTGAGTGGTATTGCATTCACAATGAAGGAAGGGGAGGCTTGGGAAGGTGGATGCATTGCTCTGTGTGGTCGCGAATGGGTGCACGTGATCACGTAGCTTTGGAAAGTTTCTCACCGCATTCACGACCATACTTCCGTGTTCGCGTATAATGTTTTGACCTAATGGAATTTTTGTTCTTCGCGATCGCAAAGGGAAGTCCGCGATCGCAATGTGTAAATCACTGGGTAGCAAAACTTAAGTTTGAATTCTAGGGTTTATTTCATATTTCACATTTTGGACTTAGAGTGCTCAGTTTGAGGCGAAATTTTGAAGGATTTTCTGAGAGATCATTGGGGGTAAGAATTCTTAACTCAATTTTTGTTAAATTACTCGAATATATCATTATTTTTATTATGTAATTAGGGATTGGAGTTGGAAGGGGAA